TTTTTATTAAACAAATATTTTATGATAGAATATTCTTGTTAAGATGTCTATAAATGATGAGAGAGAGCATCTTCAAATAAATTCAAAGTGAGCAAAATAAATTTGTGTGTACTTATTGTGGGTTGTTCCATATAGTTAAAATTGATCTTTCCCAATGCCAATTTAATATAATTCTAAAGTCATTTATAATAAAATATTCTTAAATTAGTAAAAACTCTTTCCACTGAGTTTTCAGGACAAATCGATGTTTTTACCTCCATCCTGGAAATTAAAGGAATATGAAAAAATTTCCATGTCATCATACATGTATAAAATAATTAAAATCAATATTTTTCTCTATCTAGAAAAGAGTAGTTGAAAACATATGGCATACTTTACTATATTAAATATACACTTATTTTTAAAAACTGTTCGGTTTTTCTTTCTTAACTCTTTTACTTGGTATTCAATATTTCAAAGCCAGAAACCTTGCCCTAAAAGTAATTAAAACAAAACAGTGATTATGTGATTCATTACCTTAAATGATTTTTTCCTTTGCTTAATTAAAACCATTGTCAAAGTAAATTATCTGTTTGAGGCAAAATTTAGCTGTTGAGAATACATGACTTTATCCAGAATGGCCGCTGTCCTCTGAAAATAATAAGGACTAATTCTATTATATACATTTATTTGCTAATTATAGAATCAAAATTTTATACTAATTTAACTTTAATGCACTTGTATTGCTTAAGTTTTCAAGCCATATCACTAAAGTATTTTTGATAGTTTTTTTGTTAAAAAATGAAATTATGCCATTAATGAGATAATTCAGTATAATAAATGGCTCAAAGTAGTGTTCAGCATCTTCGGATACCTCTTTATTTGGGAATAAATGAGAAATTAATACAAGTTAAAATTAAAATAACACAAATTAAAATTAAAATATTTGTCTTTTAATTTATGTTCTTAATTTTACTTGTTAAAAAAGAATAACAACTATTCTTTATTTTAGCTTTTACATTTACCAGTCATTGTATTTCCTTTTGCTTTGTTAATTTTCATTTTGGTTTTGTATTACCCAAGTCATATTTTTCTTTGCCTTATTGATTTTCCTATTCCACTTTAAAT